TTTCTTTACCTTTTTTAAATTCCATTATTTTTATTATTAACTTTATGTATTTACTGCCACTTCAAGGTAGTCAGTGTGAATAATAACCGTTATTATCGTTAGACTTTCGGTGCTCCCTTTGCATTGCTTTGAAACCATTGCCTTGGGCGGCTAAGGACGCGCTGCATCCCACTCACGGAAGCAATGCCTCAAAATCATCGCTCAACTTTGTTGTATATATGCATATTGTATGTCTGTTTGTATGTTTGTATTTAGTTTGCGTATATTGCATGCACGTACACTACTGATACAAATACATATACATACATATATATATTTATACTAATTATTTATAATTACTTTTAGTACACACATTTATAGCAACATGGAAACTAATTGCGTTTTCAAGTCTAAAATCGTAAAAAATTATGTTAATACAATATAAATATATAATATTTCTTTAAAAATTTGTAATGTTTTAAAGTAATGCTTTAAAGTAATTTCGTTTGCTGTTTATGTCTCACATTAAAGTTCTTCTCACATTAAATTGTAATGTTGTTTAAATCTTAATTTAATTTCCCATGTTTATTATCATCTATATTTAAGTAATACTTTAGCTTTTAAATGTTTATGTTTGTGTTTTTTTTTTTTTTTTTAAATTTTTTTTTTAATTCATTTATAATGTGAATATGTAGAATAAAACAATTTTTGCGTTGTCAAGATATTTTTTTTTTTATTTCAATTTCATTAATTTTAAGACTTCGCTTATATTTTGCTTAATATCTAGTTTTTATATACTGTCTCTTATACACATCTTGCATGCCAAATAAAAATGTTTAATTATAAACAACACAAAAATTAAATAAATGCACAATAAAATTTTGTAAATATACATACTAAGTACAGTTAAAAGTTATAATTATGAGTATTTATGAGTAAATGAAGCGCTTTTCTTCTTTATTAGCTTTMGGCTTTCGCTTAAATATTGCGTTTGGCGCATTTATTGTTGGTGCTTTAGTTTGCTTGTAAATATGTACTTTATATATTTTCCCAATATTTGCGTTTGTTTTACAACCGCATACATAAATTGCAGCATGCAATGCATCCATATATATTGTACTTACATTTATATGCATCTACATATGTATGTGACTATGTAGCGCCTTTATAAAATAAAGTTCTTGAAAGCGACAAGTTGAGCGATGTTCTGCGCGGAAAGGTTTAAGTACAATATTTTAAATTTTATAAATATTTTTCTTATTTTTTTAATTTATAACAATTTTTTTTTTAATTTTATTGTATATATGCTGTCTCTTATACACATCTAGATGTGTATAAGAGACAGATATTACCATAATGAAATTTAATTAATTAATTTAATTTAATTAATTTCGTGTTTTTGCATTGCATTATTTATTTCTTTAATTCTGTTTAATTGCTGATTTAATTTCACATTTAAAAACATTTTGATTCCATTGTTTATTCGTTTCTTCTTGGTTTACTCTTAAAGCGCTTGCTGTTTTGYAACAATATACATATAGTACATACATATACATATATGAGTTAATGCTTCATTTATTCGTTAATTAACAATAATTATTATTTATGTGTAAATTACATTGACTTTAATGATTTTGTATATATTATTTAATAATCATTAAATTAAGTTTATTGCAATGTGTTGTTGTTGTTTTTTAAATGTATGCAACTGCACGTGTTTGCATGTGTGGGTAGTGTCATAAAAATCGAGTCAATTTTATGGCGCATTAAAAGTGCCGTTATTAATTTAATAGAAAGTGATGATATAAAAATACAAAAACAATAATAAACAGCAAGCTATTTGCAACCGTTAGAAATTTAGTGTTTATCCGTTTTTATATTACTCACACATGGCTGTATTTTACTTGCACAAAATACTGTAAAAA